ATTTGTTTCAAACTTTTATGGTTGATAGACAAACATTAATAATAATAAATATGAAATTTGAGCTTGATTAATACATTTTTAAAAATTTTACAGCACAAAAACAAAAACAAATCGATTTAATAGCTATCCAAATATCTCGAAAACGGGGCGAGGAAAAAATTAAAAAAAAATCACACATACAAACATCAAAATTCTCTATGAAAATAAATATTAAAAAAAAATTTTTTTTTCTTAATTTTTCACATACAAATTTTTTGACAAAAAAAATTGTTTTTGAAAATAAGCCATCTCAAAATCACAATGGTAGCTCTGAGTGTTGTGCAATATTTAAGTATAGTATTTTGGGGTGCACTCTACAATAATTTGAGTTATGATTTTTTTTACACCGAATTTACAAATTTACAAATTTTTTAGTTTTTTTTTTAGAATTTTTGAGTATGCAGTTTTGTAGCCTAGTAAAATAAAGTGCAAGTTGTAAGCGATTGAAGAACTGACGTTAAATGTTTTTTAGTTTTCTTTGAAAACGTTTTTGCGCATTTTCTTCCATAAGAAAAAAGTGCAAAAAGCCGTCAGCATAAAAATATCAAAAATTAACGCAATTTTGCAGTAGCTTAAAACTTAAAAAAAAAAAAATGGGATACAAAACTGCATACTCAAAAAATATCTTAAAAAAAAAAATTAAAAAAATTTTTAAATTTATAATGTACTCATTTTACTCAACTCCGGTGTGAAAAAAAAATCATAACTCAAATTATTGTAGAGTGCGCCCCGTAATGCTATACTTAAATATTGCGCAATGCTCAGAGCTACTATTGTGTTTTTTTTTTCATTTTTTTTAAGATGGCAAAAACTATTTTTTTTATCAAAAAATTTGTATGTGAAAAATTTTTCATGAAAAATAAAATAAAAAATATTTATTTTCATAGAGAATTTTGATGAGTGTATGTGTGATTTCTTTTCAAATTTTTTCCTCGCCCCGTTCTCGAGACATTTGGAAAACTATTAAATCGATTTGTTTTTGTTTTTGAGTTGTAAAGTTTTGAAAATTGTATTTATCAAGCTCAGATTTCATATTTGAAACAAATCAGACACATGAAGTGTGAACCCCGTCCATTTTGGTATGGAACGCCCCATATACACAAGTTTTCATGCATTACTGCAAGCATTTTCGGTATGTATGTACGCAAGTGCAACATATGCTTGCCGCTACTTCAAGTGGTGTCAAACTAAATATGTGAATATATATGTTTGTGCATACATACATAGTTACTCACTAGCTGTTTACAGTGTTGCATTGGCAAAGGTTGCGCAAATCGTTAGTGCTGTTATTGCCGCTGTTTTTGGCATTTTTCGCTCTTTTCTTATTACCTTGATTTATGACATGTTTCATTAATCGTCGCTGTTGTTCGCCAAAAACTTAATTTCCTCCGCCGCCTTTGCTCTACTTTTGCAACCACTCTTGCGCGGTGTGTTTTGCATTGTATTTTTGCTCGCTTTTGATATTTGGCTAATATATATTGTTGTTATTTATTTTTCATTGAAGCTACTTAGCAAATTTACTTTCCACTATTTAATTGAATTTCCGAAAGTTTTCCAATTTGACAAGTAAATTTATTACGACAACAATTTATGCGGGTAGTTTTCAAATGAAAATGCAGGTCTATGGGCAATATATGTATGAAAAACGAGTATGTGTTCGTGTATGGATGAATGTGTTTGCGCGAAAATGTTTAAGCTTTCATGCCCCGGAAAGATTAGAGAAAGTCTTGTGAAGCGCTGGTTCCGCACTAAGAATTTCGTAGATAATTGTCTTCGAACCTTTTCCAAGAAGAGATGTAGATTAGGGTGGTGCAAAAATGCATGTGAAAAAGTAAAATCGGAATTTTTATGCTCTCACCCGCTAGGGTTCTTCTATACCGAAAAAAATTGGGTATTACTATTAAAACCAATATACATACATACATACATACATCTGCTTTTGCTTATGGTTATATTTTTTGTTTTTTTTTTTCTCTAGATCTCTACCTCTATCCCTATTCCTTTTAATTACATTTATGTTATTCTGTTTTCCTTTATCATCATTTTTATCTTTATACTCTATCGATAACAAACTTGATAGTAACATCCCACAAAATATCGATAACAAAACCTATAAAAAAATCGATAACAAAATCGATGACAAATTCGATAAAAATTTCGATAGCAAAATCGATAATAATATTGGCAAAAAAACCGATTAGAAAATCGATAAAATAGCAAAATCAACAAAAATATCGATATAAAAATCGATAGCCAAAATCGTTTAGAAAATCGATCAAAATATCGATTAATAATCGATAACAAAATCCATAAAAATATCGATAGCCAATTCGATAAAAATATCGATAATAAAATCTGCAACAATATCGATACCAAAAGCGATAAAAATATCGACTATCATCGATAAGTCTCGAGAATCCCGAAAATCCCTAAAATCCCAAAATAGTTTACAGATTGAGTCTCTGTGTATCAATCTATATCCTTTTCTCTATAATTACTTACATTTTAATCTTTCTTCATCTATCTTCATCTTTACTTTTAATCGGTATCCTCATTCTCATCCTCATCTTTTTCTTTATATTTATCTTTGTTTTTACTTTTGTGTTTATACTTTTCTTCATCTACATATTACACCTCACATAAGTAAAGTGTGTAAATTTACCTTGATCTTTATTTTTATTTCCTTTATCTTTACACATCTTTTTTTTTTGCCCTTGCCTTTATCCTTTTCTTTCTCTATGTACGTAGTCACCTTTACTTTCATTCTTGTATTGGTCCTTTTCTAAGTGTTATCCTTTAAACTTTTATAAGCAAAATTTTTGTTAAATTAGTACCATATACATACCCACAAGAAGCATTTGTTTCAGCCCCAACCACCTCCGTTGCATCATTTCCGTTGCACCATTTCCGTTGCACCACCTCCGTTGCATCATTTCCGTTGCACCATTTCCGTGTTCAATATCCGTTAAATTTGCCAATTTACTCCCAACCAACCAACCGCCGCTAAAGAAGTTTCACTTTAAAAAAATTAAATAATTCAAAGAACATTTATATATTTAATAGCTGTTGCTACATGTTCTTAATATGTTGGTACAGAAATTTATTTTAAACAAATATTAATTTATTCCTAATTTGATTTTAAACTAATTTAATACAAATCTCATATTAAACTTGCAATGGCATTCAACACTTCTACTTTTGCATTGTTGTTCACCAAAATTTAATCGCAACAATAAACTTTTTACCAAAATTCTACTTTATGTTAAGCACACTTGACTGACCACCTTTGATGACTATACAAGTATGTAAATACATTTGTATGAGTATAGAAATCTCAAAGCACATAGCAGCTGAGTGCATAATAATATAAAGTTAACTTGAGATGACAAGCATCATAGAATATCTACATATTTATGTATGTATACTATACATCACCAATGTGTTTGTATACAGACAGAAACTTTTTGAAGTACACAACAAATATGGATGTGCCTTTTGTATTGTAATAATATGTTTTTTATTTGAATGTAACTAGTGTTACATAATTTCATTTATTACAAGACATCCTAAAGTCAGATCACATTTTTGAATTTCTATAATATCGCCGTGCGACAAAAACAAAAAAACACACACACACAACACACGGAATAATCGATATACTCACGAAACTATGGCCCAAATATAGTAATACTGAGTCTTTAATTTTTCATTCTGACGTCAGAATATTTTTTTTAAGGATTATAAAATTTTAAAAATATGATTATTAAAAAAAATTTTTAAAAATCAGTGCAATGTAGAATAATAATATGGGTACCAAATGAGAGAGAAACTTCTGTAGAATTTAAAAACAATAAAGTTTTTTAGTTTACATGGACGAGTAGGTATTGAAAATGCGCCTTGAATAAAGTTTATCTTTTTAAGCTAATATAAGCTAATAAAGTTTGTAAGACGAAATTCGGTGATGAGGTCGTGCGTATATTAGTCCTCAAACAATCATTTAAAAAAAAAAAATTGCAAATTTTCAAGGATATTTAAGGACAAAATTTGTAAAGGACATTCTCTATACGAATTCGTCCTTACGCACCAAAAAAAAATATTGTACTATAATTCTACAAAATTTTTTCTTTTATATGATATATTTATTTATCCTACATTGCACTGGATTTTTTAAATGATTTTTTTTTAAATAATCATATTTTTTAAATTTCAAAGTCCTTTTAAAAAATGTCCTGACATCAGACCAAAAACCTAAGTACGCAGTTTTGTGTGTAAAGTTTACTGTCGCACGGTGTATCTATTCGTCAGTCGGTCATCATCATAACAATGAGAGTTTCCGCTTATTTGGTACGAGTGTGGTACACTTGCTTCTCTTTTTACACGGTTAGTAGCCTAATTAGAAAATTCCACATACAGCAGATTGCCGATGGCCAAGGCAGCGCACCCCTCGAATTGTTTTCCAATTATCTCTATTGGAACAATATTTATATATAGATAAAAAAAAATCAAAAAATTAAAATACGCATGTAAGTTTTGTAATATGAAAATATTTCATACTTTACATACCACAATATATATGTACTACATAAATGTTTGCTCTTCGCGCACTAAATTCAGCTATAATTTTGTTAAAACTAATCCTTTTCAAATATTATTATTACCCTTTCTGGGTCAACGCCACCACTTGTGGCTACTGAATAAATGAGCAATGAAACCATTTATGTATGTAGGTATATATATAAATCCCGTGCCGAACCATTTGCCAATTCGCTACTCTGCTAATCGTATAAGTATTATGGTTTTCGCGGTTACGCTTCAATCTATTTTTGTTGTGAGGAGTTCAGGGTCCCCTCACATAATTTGCTCAACTATAAATACATAACATAATTACTCATACGCACCGACCGACATTGCAGTAACTAACTAATTCACCTGATTTGCTTATTCTGCTCTACTCGTTTTAGATGCCAACGTCAGCGAATTACGTGCAACAAATGCGAGTTTAATAAACGCTGCGCAACGGTGGAGGTTCGACTGACTGAGTGGTGAAACGCGAACCACGCCACTTTACACCCCCACCTACACAACACAACGCCGCACTCGACATTTAGGTGCTTTGCACACGCTAACGGCGTACAAACATTTAAATATCAAGCAAACATACAAGTAGCAGAAAATGTTAGTCGGAACAGCGCGCCAGCGGAAAATTTCATTTAATAGTTGTTGTAGTAGTGGCAGCGGTAGAAGTGGAATTAAAGCCAGCAAGGACGACGACGGCGCTAGCTGTAGTGGAAGCTGCGAAAATGAATACAGCAGCAGCGCATATAGTTATTGCATTGTGCGCTTCAACGCGCTGCCATCGCTCTGCACAATCTTGCTACTGCTGCTTCTTTCCACCGCACAACTGTTGCACTTAGCGCACGCTTATCTGATCATTGTGCATGAGGACGTGCCTGCGGGTGCAGTGGTTTTTAATGCCTCCGTCTACAAGCTCGGCTCGGAGCGACATTATAAAATTAACGCACATAAATCAGCGCACTTTGTACACCATCTGGTCGCCGTCAATCACAAAGATGGTCAAATACAGTTGCGCAAGCAGCTCCAGTGCGATGGCATCTACTACCCCAACCTATTTACCTTCTATGTGGACTCGACGTCGAATCGGCTGCGCAGCATTGACTACTACAGCCTGCCGGTGCGAATATTTGTAACGGGTCGAGATTGCAATGAAGATCGGCGCATAGAGGAAGAGATGCATAGTAGGCACTATGAGGAGGAAGAAACGGGGTACTCGAAACGCCGCAGACGCTACGTGGACACGATAGCGCATCCCGATTTGCGCTATTTCGGCGCCTATCTAGCGCATCCGAGCAACAATGTGGAGCTTTTGCCGGCGAGCAGCGAGTCGGATGTACTCAATCACAACAATAGTCGACGTGAGTTTCGTGATGGTGATCTGATATTTGGCGACAATTTCGACAATGAAATGCGTCATCGCATACTCAGCCGCAAGCGTCGTGCGAAGCAACCGCTACAACTCGAACCGTCACTGCACCGCCGCATCTCCGATGCCAAGCAATGGATCTCGGAAACGTACGCCTCCTATGCTATACACACAACGGACAAATGGAATCAAATCTGCTTGCGTCAATCACAGTTCATCAACAATCTCAATGCCTTCTTGCCAAAATCCATTTGCCAGTATTGCAAAGTGAACTTTTTGGACGTGAATGACGAACGCTTTGCCATCGAGCATCAAAATCACGATTTGGTGGCCAGTCGTGACGTCTGCATACACGAGTCCATGTGGAAGGTGAGCATAACTTTCAACATACGCTGCACACGCCCGGAAATCGTAGACTCTGATCATCGCCTCAAGATCGTCTATCACTACCAGGAATTCAATGACACCGATATAGCAAAGCGAGTACGCCGCGAGCTGCGTAATCAGTCGCCTTATTTTGAACAGGCACTTTATGTGGCATCAGTGCTGGAAGAGCAGCCGGCCGGCTCGGCTGTGACAACAGTGCGCGCGCGTGACCCCGAAGACTCGCCGGTGGTGTACTCGATGGTATCTTTGCTGGACTCACGTTCGCAGTCGCTCTTTAAGGTAGACTCGCGCACTGGTGTGGTCACGACTTCGGCGAGCTTGGATCGTGAGCTTATGGATGTGCATTATTTTCGTGTGGTTGCGACAGACGATAGTTTTCCGCCACGCTCGGGCACGACGACGCTGCAAGTGAACGTGCTCGACTGCAATGATCATAGTCCGACTTTCGAGGCTGAGCAGTTCGAAGCGAGTATACGCGAAGGTGCGACAGTTGGTTCGACGGTGATCACTTTGCGGGCTACGGATCAGGATATCGGAAAAAATGCGGAGATCGAGTATGGCATAGAGAGTGTGACTGGTAAGTGGAACAATAAAAGCACTGATGCCGTGATTTCAAATAATTTATTGCTCAACATGTTTTCTCTTTTACTAAACACCGATATTCTTGCATGCATTTCAGATGGCTCTGGCACTTTACAGGACCAGGAAATGCCGATATTTCGCATCGATGCACGCTCAGGTGTAATTTCCACCCGCAGCGCACTCGACCGCGAGACCTCGGATAGCTATAATCTCATCGTCACCGCTTCGGACATGGCTTCAGCACAGAGCGAACGCAAAACCGCCACCGCTACAGTAATCGTGAAAATCTTAGATGACAACGACAACTATCCGCAATTCAGCGAGCGCACCTACACAGTGCAAGTTCCCGAGGATCAATGGGGTGATGATAATGTGGTGGCGCACATTCGCGCCACAGACGCTGACCAGAGCAACAATGCAGCCATACGTTATGCCATTATTGGCGGCAATACGCAATCCCAGTTCTCGATTGATTCCATGAGTGGTGATGTGACTCTTGTCAAGCCGCTGGACTATGAGAGCGTGCGCAGTTATCGTCTGGTGATACGCGCACAGGATGGCGGCAGTCCATCGCGCAGCAACACCACACAGCTTCTGGTGAATGTGATTGATACGAATGATAATGCGCCGCGCTTCTACACCTCACAATTTCAAGAGTCAGTGCTGGAGAATGTGCCAGTAGGCTATAATATAATACGCGTGCAAGCTTATGATGCGGATGAGGGCGCCAATGCGGAGATCATTTACAGCATTTCTGAGCGCGATGACAACTTTCCGCTGGCTGTCGATCCGCGCACTGGCTGGGTGCAGACAATCAAGCAACTAGATCGCGAGGAGCAAAGTCGCTTCACTTTTCAAGTTGTAGCTAAAGATGGTGGCGTGCCGCCCAAGTCAGCGAGCTCGACTGTGGTGATAACGGTTCAAGATGTAAACGACAACGATCCCACATTCAATCCAAAATATTATGAAGCCAATGTGGGTGAGGATCAACCGCCTGGCACGCCTGTGGTAACTGTTACAGCCACTGATCCGGATGAGGACTCACGCCTGCATTACGAACTCACTTCGGGAAATACACGCGGCCGCTTTGCAATTACTTCACAAAATGGGCGTGGTCTTATTACGATTGCGCAATCGCTGGACTACAAGCAAGAGAAACGTTTTGTGCTCACTGTTACAGCCACAGATTCAGGCGGTCGCTCGGACACAGCTACCGTTAATATTAATATCACAGATGCCAATAATTTCGCGCCAATATTCGAGAATGCCCCCTACAGCGCATCGGTGTTCGAGGATGCGCCAATTGGTACGACGGTGTTGGTAGTGTCCGCAACCGACAGCGATGTGGGCATCAATGCGCAGATCACTTACTCGCTGAATGAGGAGAGCATAAATGGGCTCGGCAGTCCAGATCCATTCGCAATCAATGCACAAACTGGCGCAATTGTTACAAGTGCACTGTTGGATCGCGAGGTGACTAGTGGCTATCTGCTTACGGTCACCGCAAAGGATGGTGGCAATCCGTCGCTAAGTGATACCACCGATGTAGAGATTAGCGTTACCGACGTGAATGACAATCCACCCGCCTTCAAGAATCCACTATACCAGGCATCAATTCTTGAGGATGCACTAGTCGGCACTTCTGTTATACAGGTGTCAGCAACGGACCCCGATATAGGACTGAATGGACGCATCAAGTATCTGCTGAGCGATCGCGATGTAGAGGATGGCTCATTTGTCATCGACCCCACTTCCGGCACAATACGCACCAACAAGGGCTTAGATCGCGAGAGTGTCGCCACTTATCATCTAACCGCCATCGCTGTAGACAAGGGCTCGCCACCACTTTCAAGCACCGTGGAAGTGCAGATACGTTTAGAAGACGTAAACGACTCACCGCCAACATTCTCCTCGGACAAGATAACGCTTTACGTGCCGGAAAACTCGCCCGTGGGCTCGGTAGTTGGCGAAATACATGCACACGATCCGGACGAAGGCGTCAATGCGGTGGTTCACTACTCGATTATTGGTGGCGACGACTCGAATTCCTTTTCATTGGTCACACGTCCGGGTTCGGAGCGCGCGCAGCTGCTGACTATGACCGAGCTGGACTATGAGTCGAATCGCAAGCGTTTCGAATTGGTCATACGCGCGGCTAGCCCGCCGTTGCGCAATGACGCGCATGTGGAGATTTTGGTCACCGATGTCAACGACAATGCGCCGGTATTGCGTGACTTCCAAGTAATCTTCAACAACTTCCGCGACCACTTTCCAAGTGGAGAGATCGGCAGAATACCTGCATCGGATGCTGACGTCACTGACAAACACACATATCGCATACTCTCCGGCAATAATGCGAATCTGATACGATTGAATACAACTTCAGGTGGTTTAATACTTAGCCCGCAATTGAATACAAATGTCCCCAAATTCGCAACGATGGAAGTTTCCGTCTCGGATGGCATCAATGAAGCAAAGGCTATAATGCAGCTTTCGGTACGCTTGATCACAGAAGATATGTTGTTCAATTCTGTTACCGTCCGTTTGAACGAAATGACCGAGGAGGCATTCCTGTCGCCGTTGCTTAACTTTTTTCTCGATGGTCTGGCAGCGATTATTCCTTGCCCCAAGGAAAATATCTTCATCTTTTCCATACAAGATGACACCGATGTCACGTCGCGCATCTTGAATGTGAGCTTCTCCGCTAAACGGCCAGATGTTTCGCACGAGGAATTCTACACGCCACAATATCTGCAGGAGCGCGTCTACTTAAATCGTGCCATACTAGCGCGTCTCGCCACAGTTGAGGTGCTGCCCTTTGACGATAACCTTTGCGTGCGCGAGCCTTGTCTCAATTTCGAAGAGTGCCTCACCGTGCTCAAGTTCGGTAATGCCTCAGAGTTCATACACAGCGACACTGTACTCTTCCGCCCTATCTATCCGGTAAATACTTTTGCGTGTTCGTGTCCCGAAGGCTTCACGGGTAGCAAGGAGCATTATTTGTGCGACACGGAGGTGGACCTTTGCTATTCGGACCCTTGCCGCAACGGCGGTACATGCGTGCGTCGCGAAGGCGGCTACACCTGCACTTGTTCGCCGAAGCATACGGGCGTTAACTGTGAAACGCAGATATCAACGCTGAAGCCCTGCATGTCGGATGCCTGTGACGGCGGTTATTCCTGCATGAATTCCTTTTTAAGCTCACAACCGCCACCGTACACAGCGACGTGTGAGCTGCGCTCACGTTCGTTCTCCAAAAACTCCTTCCTTACCTTCGAGAGCCTCAAACAGCGACATAGATTCAACCTGAAATTACGGTTTTCGACTGTGCACGATAATGGTTTACTGCTATATAATGGGCGTTACAATGAGCTGCACGACTTCATTGCACTTGAAATACTCGAAGGTCATTTGAGCTTCTCATACTCGCTGGGCGATAGTAAACAAAGTGTCTCGGTCGCGCAACAGGCGAAGGTCTCCGATGGCGAATGGCACGATGTTGAGGTGATATATCTGAATCGGACAGTGACACTTGTACTGGACAAGTGCGACACAGCAATAGCGCTGGCCGGAAATTTAGGCGATCGGTGGAGCTGCGCCAATCAAACGACCCTAAAGCTAGACAAACGTTGCGCGCTGCTCACCGAAACCTGTCACCGCTTTTTGGACTTGACAGGTCCGCTACAATTGGGTGGCTTACCACGCATACCCGCACACTTCCCCGTGGAGAATCAAGATTTCATTGGATGCTTATCTGACCTGCGCATCGACGATCGCTACATTGATCTCAACTCGTATGTAGCCGATAATGGCACCATCTCCGGTTGTCCGCAAAAGTCACCACTCTGCTCGTCGGAACCTTGTTTTAATGGCGGAGTTTGCCGTGAAGGCTGGAACACTTACACTTGCGAGTGCCCTGAAGGCTATGCAGGCAATGCATGCCAGGAGACCATACCCGCACCATGGCGTTTCTCCGGCGATGGCAGCCTTAGCTTCAATCCATTGTTGAGGCCGATACAACTACCCTGGGTCACCTCACTATCCATGCGTACTTTACAGCTGGACGCGTTTCTGCTACAGATACAAATTGGGCAAAATAGCTCTGCGGTACTTTGTCTGAAGAACGGCATACTCTATTACATATATGACAACGAACCAATGTACTTAGCTGGCGCTTATCTCTCCGACGGCAACTGGCATCGTATCGAGGTTAAATGGCTTAATTCGGAAATACAGTTCTCCGTAAACTACGGGCAACGCAGCGGCGTCGTGCCGATGTCACAGAAAGTACAAGGGCTCTACGTTGGAAAGATTGTCATCGGTAGCGCTGACGGTTCAATTGGGGCGGTTGGCGATATGCTACCCTTCGAAGGCTGCATTCAAAATGTGCGCATTGGCGCCTCTCAATCTGTGTTGTCGCGTCCAACGATACGCGAAAATGTCGAAGACGGCTGCATGTCGCGTGCAGAATGTCCGGAAACTTGTCCACCGCATTCCACATGCGCGACTACTTGGGACGAAGCGCGTTGTGAGTGCTTACCTGGTTACGTTGGGCCCGAGTGTCTGCCTATATGCACCGTCAAACCCTGCGTGGCTGGTGTGTGCCGCGCGAACGTCAGCGAACCACGCGGCTACAAATGCGAATGCAACAGTTCCTTGCAGCATGGTGAATATTGTGAGAAGACGGTGCAGCAGCCCTGCCCCGGCGGCTGGTGGGGCGAGAAGGTATGTGGACCATGCAAGTGTAACCTGAAGCAGGGCTACCATCCGGACTGCAATAAGACCACCGGCCAGTGTTATTGCAAGACAAACCACTACCAGCCACCAAATGAGACAGCTTGCATACCTTGCGACTGCTATTCGATAGGCTCATTCAGCGGCGCTTGCAATCCACTGACAGGTCAGTGTGAGTGTCGCGAGGGTGTGATAGGGCGCCGCTGTGACTCGTGCTCAAATCCGTATGCGGAAGTTACACTAAATGGCTGCGAAGTCGTTTATGATGCCTGCCCGCGCTCATTTGCGGCGGGTATTTGGTGGCCACGTACTCCGCTCGGCAGCACGACTGTGGAAAATTGTCCTTCACCGGCCAGAGGCAAGGGACAACGCAACTGCGACGCCATGTCGGGTGGTTGGAATCAAGCGGATATGTTTAATTGCACTTCAGATCCATTTGTTGAGCTGCGCAAACAACTTTCGCAATTGGAGAAGCTTGAACTGGAACTCAACTCATTTGTTGCCATTAAAATGGTGGAAAACTTGCAGCAAGCATGCGAGACTGTAGATCGCTCGAGTGCTGTGAAAAAGAAAATTGTAAAGGATAGTCGGCGTTACAAAATGGAGTCCTCCTTTCTGCTGAATGAAGGCAGCAATATGTGGTCTAATGAACTGGAAATGGACTATCTTTCCGATGAGCTAAAGTTTACACACGACCGCCTATATGGCGCTGATCTTCTAGTTACTGAAGGCATCCTACAGGAGTTGATCAACTACGAGCTAATGCAGAACGGCCTGAATCTGACACATAGCCAAGACAAGTATTTCATTAAGAATCTAGTGGATGCCGCAAGCGTCATATTGGACCGTAAATATGCGAGCGAGTGGAAACGTGCAACCGAGTTGATACAGCGTGGACCTGACGATCTTGTGGATGCATTCAATAAGTATATGGTAGTGCTAGCCAGCTCACAGCATGACACATATACCAATCCTTTCGAGATAGTGCAGCGCAACATGGTTTTTGCTTTGGATATAATTACAACTGAATCCCTTTTCGGCTATGAACCCGAACAGCTTAGTGAATACCACAAAACAAAACTCAATCTGAAACCGAATGCGTACACAACTGAAAGCGTGATTTTGCCCGACACGAGCGGTTTCCTGCAGCACTCCGCGAAGCAGAAGCCAGTGATTACCTTCCCCAAGTACAACAATTACATACAGGACAAAACGAAATTCGATAAGTACACTAAAGTGTTGATTCCGCTGGAAATGTTGGGTATAACACCGCCCGGCAGCAATGAAGTCACACAGAATGCCATCGATTACCGCGCCATCGTTTCCTATGCGCAGTACAAAGATGTGGGACAGCTACTGCCAGACATGTACGACGAGACCATCACACGTCGCTGGGGTGTCGACGTCGAAGTGGCCTCGCCCATACTCTCACTCGCCATCTTAGTACCATCCAGCGATACCGAAGAGAAACGCATAGAGATACCTTTCCGAAAAATCTCATCTCAAAAGACTGGCTCCAACGAACAGCAGTTCATCGAGGTATTCGATGTGCCGAAAACGAGCAGCAGTGGCAGCGAGGAGCACATGATTGAGAACATACGCATCACAGCGCATGAAATACTACCACCAGCTGTGACGAATTCACATGAAGCAAGCGCCGAAGTGACAAGCAACGAAGCTGTAGAGGTCGCAGACGACGAAGAGCCACACATTAGCGTGCGCTTCGACGATGACAACATCGAATTCCACGGTGACACCGGCGAGGAAGTAGTCGATTCACCAGAGTTGACAAATCCACACTTCGAAGCTGGTTCAAGCGAACAGCAAAAAGGTGAGAACGAAGCAATCTACCGCAGTCGCAGACTGGTCAAGCGCCAGGTAGAAGTCATCTACCCATCCGAACAGCAACAAACACAACAGCGCGTCATCTATCGTTCGCTGGGCTCTCCACATCTCTCACAGCCCATCAAGCTGCAAATGTGGCTGGACATTGATCCAGCGCGCTTTGGTCCACGCTCAAATCCACAATGCGTGCGTTGGAACTCATTCACCAGCCAATGGACCCGACTGGGTTGTCAAACCGAGGTGCCCGACTTCAATGAGCTGCCAGTCGATGGACAACCCATCATCGTTAACTGTTCCTGCACGCACGTTTCTAATTACGCCGTAATTGTGGACATCATTGACCCCGAAGATATACCTGAGCCTTCTTTATTGGTGCAAATCACATCCTACTCCGCATTTATGGTCTCACTGCCGGTGCTGCTGAGCGTACTCATTGCTTTGGCGCTGCTGCGTGGTCAACAAACCAATTCGAATACCATACACCAGAATATCGTGCTGTGCGTGTTCTGCGCCGAGTTGCTTTTCTTCGTTGGCATGCAGTCACGTCGCAATTTGCTTGAAAATGAATTCCCCTGCAAGCTTATAGCGATTTGCTTGCATTACTTCTGGCTGGCCGCATTCGCTTGGACGACCGTCGACTGTGTGCACCTGTATCGCATGCTTACCGAGATGCGTGACATCAACCATGGACCAATGGGATTCTACTTTGCCATGGGCTATGGTGCACCAGCCATTGTGGTCGGACTTTCGGTGGGCGTGCGGGCGCATGAGTATGGAAATAGTTTGTTGTGAGTATTTTATTTATGCGTGTATGTGTGTAGGTGTACGCTTGTGGTATTTGTGTATTGAACCTTATTGAATTGGTTTATATGCTTTGCATTTCTAATTCATTTTTT